CCGGTCTTCACCTCAAAAGAGTCTGTCAGCTGACCTCCGTGCACGATTTTGCAGTTGAATCCAACATAAGAATTCCGTATGATGTTGACTATTTTGTCAGGCACACCGTAGTGTCGAAGAAGCCTCCACAGTGTTTTCCTATCCACGCTATCGAATGCTTTCTCGTAGTCGATGAAGTTGATGTAGAGTGGTGAGTTCCATTCAATTGATTGTTCCACAATGATCCGTAGTGTAGCAATTTGGTCAGTACACGATCGATCCTAACGAAATCCGGCTGTTATAATTTAGTGAGTATGTTTTTAAAATTTAAAAACTAAATAACTCAAATCGGAACAGAATAACATGACCTTCATTTTTAGAAAAAAGAAACAAGTTACACTTTCATTGAATGAAAGCAATCAAATTGGCATTATGTTCAAAATTCAAAAATCTCTGAAATGCATTCCAATTTCAAACTACTTAATGATGTTGTCGACATTGTTGATTTCATTGAAAGAATTCATGAAAAACAAACAAAGGAACAAAGAATCGATAGATTGGTTGGTTTATAATTCTATCAAAAGTATCATAATAAACACTTAAGATGCATATACTTCTTAATTCACATTGAGTATTGTGTACAATTTAATTGTACTCTATATGAATTCATTCATATAACTTTCGAGTAGTAGTTACAATTGTTTATTGACCATTAACAAATGGGACAATGAATTCTTCTCATGCAGAATTACGATGAAAAAGGTTGGTATTTACAAATTTAGCGCTAAAGAAAAACATTAGAATCAGTGTGTGTTTTCTAATCACGATCGGACATCATTTCTAATGCATGAATGAATTCGGTGTAAAAATTCAAGATCAACCATCTGCAAATCGATTAATTCGTCCGTCCATAAATTATAGTCTCGCAATGTACAAAAATTGTAGGTTTTTTAAAAACAAAAAGCATCCAATGTAGCTGTTTCTATAAATTTAAACAAGCCATTAGATTCTTGAACAGTTTTAGTTTTGATAGCATAATGAAGAACTTTCACTCAGAAGAATTTTACTGGAGACTTAAAGACCAGGCGGAATTAGTGAACTGTTAGGTGAAGACACAAGTTACTGATAAAATATATACACCTGGACTTCAGACTTCCATTTACGTAAACAAACAGATTATTGACAGTCTTTTCCTATATGTCTTTTGTTCTTCAAAATACTGTGATCGCGCCATACACCCGGATCCGATCCCCTTCTCTTTAGTAATAACTTCTAGGCAACACTCCTGCTGGGAATGTTAGATCTGCATAACTCGCTTGATAAATGACTTTATTTTCGGTTCTATTCATGGGCTGATCAGATGACCTTGAGATCACATTTTCCACCAGGAAAAGCTTTGGCTGTGATTGGTTCATATGTTATTTTAGGGTGCTATTTTTTGTGACTCACCCAAGGACGTCTCTGCGGTGTAAAAATAAACTTGATTTGTGTGCTTGGTTTCATTGTGCGTTGGCTGGGTGTTTGTATAATACACTTTCTACGCTATGTCAAGACTTTTTGTTAGTTCCTTCGGGTTAACGCATCAAAGTAGCCTAGCTGGACTCTCGTTCATTGTCTCGTTCTCGTTTATCGACTAAGGTGAACCTATAATCGTTCAAGCATTCTTAGTGATGAGCGTTAGAACCCCTCTACATATCCAGTGAATACTATTTATGACCGACGTTGTTAGTACTTAGTACTCACCATACTGGGTTCTTCTATCATCAGTGCCTCAAATCACAACCCGACGATATATTCACTAGGTTTTTCATATTTTATCCCTTACAACTTAACTTGTATTTGGTCTTCAGTGAATATTGTGCCAAAGGCATTTAGGAAATTAATTAAAGGCTGTAAAATCGAATTATAACTCACTAATTAATATCTCTTAGTCTATATATATCTCTTAAAATATGTCATTATTTAATTTAATCCTAGCAAACCTTATCACTGACAACTTTTCATTTAAAAATACATTTTACAATTTAGTACGTTACATCTTGTAAACATCATAGATTCTTTTTAACTTCAATATACATTACACAATAGCAGATATGAGAAAACAGTGCATTTAACTTGGTAGTTTAAATCTTCTTAATGACAGTTAGCACTGTAATTGACCAGTCTCACTTAGTATAAATGCATCCAATGTGAAGTTCCTCGGTATACAGCTGACGAGTCCCAAATAGGACGAAATGCATGTCCTGAATTCCATAGCTAGCCACTGTCCATCTTTGTTTATTATGCGAAAACGGACATTTAGTAAATGATCTTACTTAATGATAGATCACTGATTTCAAAGATAGTATGTTCTTCAAGTCAGTCTGTTTAGTGTGATATGGTTGAAACTATTACGAGTTCACCTTATTCAGTAAGCGAGAGCGAAGACAAATGACCCAGTGATACGATAAGCTATTCTAATCCGTTTGTCTTAGACACGGCTAACTATATTAAGAAGTCTTGATAAAGCATAGAGAGTGTATTCTACAAGCACCCAGAAAATACGAGGTTAACAAGCATACAAATCGAACTTATTCATACATGATAGTGATGTCCTTGGGAGAGCCAAAAATAGCATACTAAAATAATACATTAGCCAATGGCAGTCAAGGATTTTCCAAGTAGGCAATTTAAGATGAAGGTCAACTACGCAGCTTATGCGCGAAAACATAAAAAAATCCAAAGTTTGGACCTTTTCCGAATGCGTTCTGGGGATCTAACGTCCCCAACATAATGATAGCGTTGTCTGGAAGGATAATGAAAGCTTCACAACTAAACAATTCGATTCAGACAATAAAACACCTTCGAAATATTTATCTCAGGTTACAAATATTCACAGTCACTTCATGTATCTAAATAAGAATGATTCCAATGTAGATGTTTTTATAAATTTAAACAAACCATTTGATTCTTGAACAGTTTTTTGTTTTGATAGCATAATAAAAAAACGTTAACCCGGAAGAATTTTACTGGAGACGTAAAGACCAGGGGGAATTAGTGAATTGGTAGGTGAAGCCACGATTTACTGATAAAATATATACACCTGGACTTCAGGCTTCCATTTACAAAAACAAACAGATTATTGGCAGTCTTCTCCTATATGTCTTTTGTTCGTCAAAACATTCTGATCGCGGCTCTGACACCCTTCTCTTTAGTAATAACTTGTGGGCGAAACTCCTGCTGGAGTTGTTAGATCTACATAACTTGCTTGATAAACGACTTTATTTTCGGTTCTATTCATGGGCTGATCAGATGACCTTGAGATCACATTTTCCACCAGGAAAAGCTTTGGCTGTGATTGGTTCATATGTTATTTTAGGGTGCTATTTTTTGTGACTCACCCAAGGACGTCTCTGCGGTGTAAAAATAAACTTGATTTGTGTGCTTGGTTTCATTGTGCGTTGGCTGGGTGTTTGTATAATACACTTTCTACGCTATGTCAAGACTTTTTGTTAGTTCCTTCGGGTTAACGCATCAAAGTAGCCTAGCTGGACTCTCGTTCATTGTCTCGTTCTCGTTTATCGACTAAGGTGAACCTGTAATCGTTCAAGCATACCTAGTGACGAGCGTAACAACCCCCCTACATATCCAGTGAATACTATTTATGAGCCACGTTGTTAGTACTTAGTACTCACCATACTGGGTTCTTCTATCATCAGTGCCTCAAATCACAACCCGACGATATATTCACTAGGTTTTTCATATTTTATCCCTCACAACTTAATTTGTCTTTGGCCTTCAGCGAATATTGTGCTACAGATATTTAGGAAATTAATTAAATGGCTGTAAAATCAAATTACAACTCACTAATTAATATCTCTTAGTCTATATATACCTCGTAAAATGGGTCATTATTTAATTTAATCCTAGAAAACCTTATCAAAGACGAATTTTTATTGAAAAATACATATTACAATTTAGTACGTTACATCTTGTAAACATCATAGATTCTTTTTAACTTCAATATACATTACACAATAGCAGATATGAGAAAATATTGCATTTAACTTGATAGTTTAAATCTTCTTAATGATAGTTAGGACTGTAATTGACCAGTCCCATTTAGTATAAATGCATCCTTTGCGGAGTTACTCGGTATACAGCTGACGAATCCCGAATAGGATGAAATGCGTGTTCTGGATTCCATTGCTAGCCACTATCCATCTTTGTTTATTATGTGAGTGTATTCTAAAAGCACCCAGAAAATACGAGGTTGACAGGCACATAAATCAAGCTTAGTTATACATGATAGAAACGTCTTTGGGAAAGCCACAAAAATAGCGCACTAAAATAATCCACCAACATTTGCTAGTCAAGGATTTTCCGAGTGGGAAATGTAGTCTCAAGGTCAGCTGAGCAGCTTATGCGTGAAAACACAAAAAATCCAAAATTAGGACCTTTTCCAAGTAAGTTCTGGGGATCTCATGTCCCTAACATAATGATAGCGTTGTCTGGAAGGATAATGAAAGCTTCGCAACTTAACAATTCGATTCAGAGAATACAACATCTTCGAAATCCTCATCTCAAGTTACAAATATGATTCTATGGTAAGTAATTCAAACCGAGTGGTAAACATCATTTCGGATTCACGGAATCAGTGATTGAAACATAAAAACTTGTCAGCAAGATAGTGAGTGAGTGATTCAGAAACAAGATCATATTCTCTCATCAATCGACTGAAAATATACACTTAATTAAATTGTATTCAATCGATACTTCTCTCTCTCTCTCTCCTAGACATTCAATCCAAAATTGTACTATATGTAGTAGTAAGTAGTCTACTGATCATCACACCATCAAACCAATATCTGATATGTAATCACATGATTCGTACACGTGACTGATAAGCGACCACTCAAATTTGTTTTTTGTGTTTTTCAAAAACCAATCAGATTGATTGGGTGAATCAATACTGAACAAGTTGATCTTCTCATCTGAAGCTCATTGATTTAAAATCAATAAATAGCGATAAAAGTTTTTATATTCAACGAAAAATAATTCAAAAAATTCATTTAAAACAGTGATCGTATTCTCATCAAATTTGTTTAAATCAATAAATGGTCATATTGAAATTAATACAACACGACCAAGATCATGATGCACAGATTATATTTGTATGGAAATTACAAAAACTCACTAATATCTTAGAATATACTGATATTTTAAATAAACTACATGAATTCAACAATTACAAATATCAAGATTATATTATTGAATGGAATTGTAAGTTTACTACCATGATTATAATTTTGTTATGGGTAATAATCGATTGATGATTGTAAAGTTTTAAATTGTATTGTAGGTGTTGACAATGTTTAAGTGAAGTTTGTATGTGATTTGAATGTACTTATTATCGTGTTGACGATAAATAGATACACTAGTTTCACAAATGTCAATCTCCGGAGGATAAATTGTGTTGTGTTTGTGTGATTTTGATTAGGTTGATCATGTAAACATTGGCGCGCATTTTCAGACTGAGTAACAACATCATCAACATTGATTTCATATAGATATTGATTATTTGAAGTTATAGCACAATCCTCTTCTACAGTTGAAAAATATCTGGAACTCTAAACAATTTTCAACCAAAACCAAAATCAGGATTTTCAATACAAATGTCAAGACAGTTCTACTGTATGGAGTGGAAACTTGGAGAACTACCAAAGCCATCATCCAGAAGATACAAGTGTTTATGAACGGTTGTCTTCACAAAATACTTCGTATTCGTTGGCCAGACACTATCAGAAACAACGTACTGTTGGAGAGAACAAACCAGATTTCAGTGGAGGAGGAAATGAGGAAGAAGCGGTGGAAGTGGATAGAACACACACTACGAAAAGCACCGAACTGCCTCACAACACAAGCCCTCACATGGAAATTTCAAGGTCAAAGGAGAAGAGGAAAGCTAAGGAATACATTACGCCGAGAAATAGAGAAAGGTATGAGAGGAATGAACAAACACTGGACAGAACTGGAGAGGGAAGCCCATGACAGAGTTGGTTGGCGAAAACTGGTGGGCGGCCTATGCTCCATTGGGGGGTAACAGGCGTAAGTAAGTAAGTAATAGCACAAGCCTCAGATTAAAGCTTTCGGATGACCCTGTTATCATCTTGGAATGATTTTCAGAGATTTTCATTACTTTCAACTATGGTGTTGTTGATATATCTTGACATTCACAGGTAATGCCTTCAGATGGTCATGTATTTAAGTAATAAATTACAATTTCCAGTAAAAAAAGAAACGTACGATGTGAACTTATATTGATCTTTCTAGACAAGATATTGTGATAGACATTGTAGTTAATTCTATATTTTAAGATTCGGGAAAGGTTGAAGCAAAAAATATATGATTATTTCATTCTGTTGTAGAGAGATGTAGAGAATTCAATTGGTCATGAATGATCAGTAATGTTTTCGATTGTCAAATTACAATGTTTTTATTGTTTAACTTTGAACAGCCATATTTATCTGGATTAGTCAAATGTTGATCGGCTGTGAATGACGCGAAAATGACCATCACCATAGTTAGTACTAACATTGTAAGATTAGCACACTTTCTATAATCTTAAACAAATAACCCATTTACTAGTATTAAGAGGAATAAGTCTCAAAGTGTAGATGGTTTATGGGCCAGTATATGTGCTTTCATAATCTCAAGTTTTGGTGGTTGCATAACACCTTCCGAATGAAATATTTCCAATCAGATGAACTGTTTCGATCATTAGAGTGTTCTTTTGGTTTGTATAAAGATTTAGCTAGTATAAATTCATTTTAGTGAATCAATAATTGTCTGAATTGATGCAGAGTAGCCAAACAGTTAATAGACACAAAAAATTAAGTAATTTGTTATAAGCTGTCAAACAGATGAATATGTATATCAGGACGGAAAATTTGAAGAAATCAAATCTTGTATAATATAAATACGATTAGAAATAATATTACTTACCTTACTTATCCACACACCTGTTATCTCTCTAATGGAGCATAGGCTGCTGACTAGAATTCTTGAACCTATTCTGTCCTAAGTCTTTCTTCTCAGTTCTACCTAATTGCTGTATATTGTACTGCCTCCACATATATTCCAGTTCGCTGACATTTAATTTGGTTAAGCACTTTAGATTAATTTATTTAACCAAGCCATTTGTATTACGACAATTTATATGTACCATTCGTTCTTATAATTGTCTGGTTTGTATGAGCTCACGTGACTTGTCCGACTTGCCATTTGACCTTGTCAACCATTCGTCGATTTTATTCATGTGTGTACATGCCTATCTCGTCGATCAAATGTCTGTCTTAGTTTTGTCTGACTATATATTCTTAGTCATGCTCTCTCTTTGAACTCATTAGCCTTCTCCACATTGCTTCTCCGCTTCGCTTTGTGGTGTGTCGCAAATAAACGTATTCAACACTACGAGTTCACCTTCTGATTTATAAACCGTCAGACGCTAGTTAGTAACGATTGTCAGGACGAGCTAATTACCGAGCTGAAGAACACGCAGTAAATTTACACACTACAATATTCTTTACATGTCTGCTTCCGATTCTCGGTGCATTATGTTCCTTGTTCTACGTCTTTTTCTTTCGCTTTGAAGGTTCCAAGTTATAAGGCTTGCCCTGTAATGTAGTTAGGTGCTTACTGTAATGCATTTCCTTTCCACCTCTAAGGCTTTTTCCTAATTTCCTTCTCATCTGGAATCTGGTTTATTCTTATCCTACAAGAAACTGTTTAACAACATCATTAATAAGTTTATACCGTGAACCTAAACACACATCCAAAGTCTAAGAATAAAAATCTCTTTTCAATCATTTATAACATATAAATACATGAAGCAGTATAGATTACTTCTGTTCATCATATCTTTTGTTTTTTAAATGTCCCTGAATATTTCTTGTCCAATTTTTATTCATACATGTTTTTTTTTATTAGTTCTGTGTGTGTTACAAACTACAAACGATAATAATTGAACAACTGAATCGCGATAATAACTGTTTATTGCTTCTCCAAATTATTTTTTCCTCCTTACATGATCATAAAATGCAAAATATTTATTTTTACTACTTTTCTATTCTTCAATCACATTGAACTCTCATTATTTGTGATGTGAATACATGAATTAGGCATAATTTGGTACAATTACAAATCATATAAAAGTCGTTTGAGAGTAATGTTTTTTTTTCATTGTCTATCTATCTAAATTGAATGTCATAAGATTCGCCCAAAAAATCTAGTAGGTTTTATCAAATACTTTTAGTATTTTCAATGATTTTATTATGTATTACGGCGTTGTGGAGACTGTTAAGTTACACATTTTTGAAACCATGAATCGATCAATGTTAGACCACCATCAGAAACCTGGAAGCACTGAAAGACGGCCGTTTCATTCTGGTATGGGACCCCTCAGAAGTGCGCATCCACAACTCCTGCACCCCGCACGATTCGAACCCAGGATCTTCGGTATTGTGCGCGTACGCCCTAACCGATAGACCACTGAGCCGGTATCTAACGGTGTTAATGTCTAACTTGATCGATTCACAGAGTTGCGCAACCTCATACACAGTCTTCGGTAGTTACTGTCTACACCCGAACAGGTTGAACTTCACTTGTCACGTCTTCCCACTAGAACTCGGAGAAGATTCCTCACGAAGCTAGTCACTACTGAGCACAGGTAATTTGCATTACGGGGTTGTGAAGATTGTTAAGTTACACATTTTTGAAACCATGAATCGATCAATGTTAGACCACCATTATAAACCTGGAAGCACTGGACGGCCGTCTCGTCCTGGTATGGTACTCCTCAGCAGTGCGCATCCACGACTCCTGCACCTCGCAGGATTCGAACCCAGGACCTTCGGTATTGTGCGCGTACGCTTTAACCGATAGACCATACTGACTACCACTCATAAAGTTTCATTCGTTCTAAATGACCTTGAAGTCTGATTGTGAACGGATTGTAATGAATACTGATATTCTGTTGCATGGAGAATGTTTCTCTATATGCTACCGATAAGTTTCAAATGTGGCTATGAAGGCTGAAAGAATAATAATTATAACATGACTAGTAATAATGACTTTATTCAACTGTATTTATCTCAACTTACTTACTTACCTACTTACGCCTGTTACCCCCAATGGAGCATAGGCCGACCACCAGTTTCCTCCAACCAACTCTGTTCTGGGCTTCCCTCTCCAATTCTATCCAATTTTTGTTCATTCCTCTCATATCTTTCTCTATTTATTTCAAACATTTCAATAAGTTTCTGTTCAGGACGTTAGATCCCTACAACTCACTTGCAGAAGGTCCTAATTTTGTAATTTGTTTCTGGGATTTTGAATTTTGTGTTTTCGCGCCAAAGACACTCATTTTGACCTTCAGCTTGCATTTTTCCACTCGGGAAATCCTTCACTACAATTGATTGATGGATTATTTTAGTACGCTGTTTTTTGGCCCCCACCAAGCGTATTTTATCATTGCATAAATAAGCTTGAATTGTGTGCTTATGGACCTCCTACTTTCTCGGTGTCTTTGGAATACATTATCTACGCCTTATCAAGACTTCTTCCTCTAGTTATTAGGGCCTGGGACGATCGGATTAGAATAGCCTATCGTATCGTTGAATCATTGATCTTAGTTCCGTTTACCGAGTAAGGTGATTTGAAATAGCTTCAAGCGTATCAATTTTCTTCATACAACTAGCGAGAAAATCAATAATTGCATATAGGCATACATTTTTAAAGAAAAAATTAAGTAAACAAAGTATTTGGAATGGGAATGCGCGCCATTTTTTTATGTATGATGAGAATCGATGGAATTTCTCAATTAGGAACATGTTTATGAATATAAGTTTTTGACAAGATAAACTCATATCACTTGTTCGTCATACATAACAACATATTTTCCAAATAAGAGGTATTGAAATCTTGTTCGATCTGAAGTTATACAAAGAGAAAGATGTGAATAAAATGGATGGTTAATATCAAATAAGATAAAACTTGCTAGGAGTTTGCAAGTTTTTTTAAATATCTATTTTGCGAGCATATTTTCTTAATGACTTCAAAAGATTCAGCACAAATCCTGCTAACCACCTTCAGCATTCTTCTAAATAATAGTTACAAGTAAAGGACAATAGGTAATAGCCAGAGTTTACGAAGTTTAAAAGTAAATACCGAATAACACTTAAAGCATGGAGCCTCTTTATGTAATAATTCCAACGGGGAACTTCTCGAAATCCTTAAAACATGAGAAGACCAAGAGAAATCAGAAAAAAAACTTACATCAAGATGTATGACCTTCTGAAAGAGAAGGTTTAAGATCTTTTTAGGTCCTAAACAGTGGGGTGAGTTAAAAATGACTGGAGACATTTTCGGACATCAGTCACAGTGAAACCTGGGACACAACTCTTTTTCAAACTTGTGCATATGGGAAGACTGACGTACAAAGTATTGATTTAAGTCACAAATATCAATGGATGAAGTGGTGAAACTTCATCAGTTGAGGTGGTTGGCACATATGTTACGTATGCCTAACCACCGATTGACTCGACGAACGATATAGGAATAGGTTGGAAGAAATCTGGGAGAGGCCAGACCGAAACATGGCACAAATCCATGAAGTCACTGACAAGTGGACTGAGTCATGTTGGTATTTGCAGGCTACCTGGTTGGGGTCCGCGAGACGAAAGTCACCAATGGTTAGAGACGTTGAACGACATGGCTCAAAATCGTTTGCAATGGCGCAAGTGCATCTATTCGTTGTGCTCTCTCAAATCCTAATTTTCTGTATTCTTCAACACTCCTAGTTTTGTCTTTCTAACCTTCTCTCACTGAATCATATTTCTTGAATAATATCTTCAAACCCTAGTATTCGTCATAACCATTAATACCTGTACTATCTCTTTCAGTATGGGATTTAATTTGATACTTGCGTCTCTGTGCTAATGTGCTGTGACAACCTGAAGTTATGTACATACGTACGAAGTTCTACGTTGCAACTGACTGACTGATATTCAGTTGGGCATAGTCACCAGTGCTTGTCCCACATGTACGCTCGTTCAATACTTTTCACATATTTGAAGAGTTTTTACAAGATAGGAGTTTCTGAACAAACAGTGTATTCAGATATTTAATTGCTTGGTTTATTAGGCCATTTAGCTTCCAAACTTCAACAGAGTTTTTCTCCTAATATATTAATTCTTTTTCCTTTCATAGTCCTTTTAGTTGTGGAGATTTAAGTCAGTTAAACCTTAGAAGTATGGTTTCAGTGGGACAACAAATATTCAAAACAGAATTTAAAGCAATGGTTTTCCCAATAAATCATTTGTAAATCAATCCTAGTTTGTCATACAAAACTTATTTTTCCGATCTTGGATATTTTCTTCTAAGTAGTTCATGTGTTCAACTTGTCATAAAGTTTGAGTAGAACACAACTAACACAACATTTGGGATTGAGTAATGAAACGTATTTAAGCATTACATATATCCCCATATCATTTATGAAAACTGAGTCTGATTATATGCATCTTGGAAAATAAACCATACTTTCGAAACCCAATGATGAAAGAAAGTTACAGTTACATGAATTAAAATCACCAGATATAATTGAAAGATAACCACCACTGAAAGCAGTAATAGCAAATTCAGTGGATTTATCAATGAAAACAGACTGTGCAGATGAGGTTCCGTCCTGAATCACGTAAATGTAGGTGTAACATCGATGTGATTGTACTTAGTCAAATATTTTGGATGGAATCTTAGGGTCAAAGTATTTTCAATTAGAGTTATGGAGATTAGTGTTATTACACAATGAAATCATCAGTCAGTCATTGTTAAACCACCATTAAAAACCTGGAAGCACTGGACTGGGGGCGTTTCGTCCTGGTATGGGACTCATCAGTGGCAGTGCGTATCCAAGAATCCTGCACCTCACAGGATTCGAATCCAGAATCTTCAGTCATGAGCTCGAATGCCTAAGCTCTGGACCACTGGGCAGGCATCCAACAGTGTTAATGTCTAACTCTGATTGATCTAGGTATTTTGCGCGACCTCACCCATTTGTCTCTGGTAGTTACTGCCTACACCCGATAGGGTTAAACTCCACTGGTCACGTCTTCTCACTAGCACTCCGAAAATTTCCTCATGAAGCTAGTCACTAGTGAGCACATTTTACGATTTTTCAATTGCAGTTATGAAATGCAAAATTAGATCGATATCAGTTCATATTTACAAATGAAGCTGTACCGAAGCCACACTTTTTCTTATTTGCTTGATCGATCTTGACGAAAAATAATGAAATCATGTGGTGATACTAAACAATCGTTTAGATCGTTTAACTAGGCTTCTTAAATTGCGATTACATCACAAACATCATACATATTTAGATTTAATATCCACCTAGTGAATCAGTTAGTGATCGGCAGTTGAAGGTAAGCAGTTCAAGAATCCGCATCTGATTAACATTCATTCTTTTCAGCGCATAAGGTATAAATTAGAAATGAATGATTTATAATGAATTTAGATAAATTCAATTAATCTTTACCCCAATGAAGCACAAGCTGTCGACCAGTATCGCCTACCTACTCTGTCCTGAGCCTCCCTTTCCAGTTATGTCCAGTTTTGTTCATTCTTCTCATATCTGTCTCCACTTTTCGGTGTAATGTGTTCCTTGGCCTTTCTCTTTTCCTTTGACCTTGAGGGTCCCAATTGAGGGCTTGTCTTGTGACGCAGTTAGGTGCTTTTCGTAGTGTGTGTCCTATCCACTTCCACCGCGTCTTTCTGATTTCCTCCTCCACTGAAATCTGGTTTGTTCTTACCCATAGTAGGTTGTTGCTGATAGTGTCTGGCCAAAGTTGTTTGCGTAGACAACTGTTAATAAATACTTGTATCTTGTGGATGATGGCTTTCGTAGTTCTCCAAGTTTCCGCCTCATACAGTAGAACTGCCTTGACATTGTAGTGAACATTGTGACTTTGGTGTTTGTTGATAGCTGTAAATTAACACTATCGGTCGATTAAGACAATTTAATCGATCACCATCGACATTCAAGGTCAGTAATGTAACTAATCATGTATATTCTGTTTTGACATATTTAAATATCGATCAAATTAATCCCGACATTCACTATTGAATGAAAATCTTACTTATGTTCATTTATATTTGGTCTTTTTGTTTCATTTTCTTTTTACAGATAATTACAATAGGCATCGAATTCAAAATACACAAGATTTAAAAAATGCACTCAAACAATTATATCGTAACTATATAAAAAATCGATGTATACAATTTCATATAACTCCTTTATGTCATTATCATGAATATGGACCACCGCCACCGTATGAAATTCCTTCTTCATTATAAATAATTTCTTCTAAATTTTTTACCTAAATTTTTTATTTGAATTCTTGTAAATAGACTAACTATCAAGTGAAATCATGTCAATTTAAAAATTGCATTGAATATTATATTGAACATTGAAATTATTGAATCAATTGTCAATGATTACCTTGAACAAATGAATTGATATTATTATGATTATTATCAGTACAATGTAAACGGCACTTGTAAAACACATTTCATTGTTTTATCATTCAAAATGTTTATTAGTGCTAGTATACTCTTTCTAAAGATTAATAAACTATAATAATGATTTTTATGTGTGTTAAATCATTGTTATGATTGTAAACACAGGAGAAATAAATTCTTTATGTTTTTAGAAACAATCATGAAAATGATTATTACTTACTTACTTATGCCTGTTACACCCAGTAAAACATAGGCTGCTGACCAGCATTCTGAAACCCGCTCTGTCATGGGCCTTCTTTTTCAGTTCTATCGAATTAGTGTCCAATCGTCTCTTGTCTGTCTCCAATTCTCGACGTACTGGATTATTTGGTATTCCTTTTACCTTGAGGATTCCAAGTGAGGTTCTGTCTTGTGATGTAATTGGGTGATTTCCTCAATATGTATTCAATCCACCTTTAGAGCTTCTTCCTGATTTCTCAATCCTCTGGAATCTGATTTGTTCTGTTCCACAGTCGGTTGTTGCTGATGATGTCTGGCCAACGGATTCTCATTATCTGATGTAGACAACTGTTGATAAATACTTGTATCTTCTGGATAATGGATTTCGTGGTTCTCCAAGTTTCCGTTCCGTACAGTCGAACTGTGTGGACATTTGTGTTGAAAATTCTCACTTTGGTTTTGGTTGATAGTTGTTTTGAGGTACAGAAGTTCTTCATTTGTAGAAGTGCTTCCCTTGCTTTGTCAGTCAGCGCCTTCACATCAGCATCAGATGATTCAGCAAAGAAAATTTCTTTTCTCACAGTATCATTTGGTTAGGCTGTTTAGTCAGATGAAAAGTTAATTCTGCATTTGATAATTTATAATAAAATAGAGAAAAGTTGTATCCTTTCAGAAATTAATCACAAGTTTCGTAAGCGCTTCTTTTAGTAAGATGAGATGAGGTTGTAAACCTCATCCTCAACCCTCTTCTTCTTCCTGTGTTAGGGGCTGGCATTAGTTTTAGGGAGAAGTAGCAACAGCCTGCGTAACAATGAGTCTCAACACACAAACAGGAAAATACCACACAATGAGCATATGTTCAAAGATGGAACCGCCAACTAACTTACATTTCCCTTTAGATAGCCAACTAAGATATGCGTTTGGTAAGTGCATGTTTTGTTAGATCATAATTACTTGTTCCATATAAGGTGCTTACTAGAGAAAACAACACGGGGCTCTGTCGAAAAGGTCTTCCTAAGTAATTTTGATATCCAGTCTTATGCACGTCTGCCGCCCTATTCGTTTCGAATTTGATGTTCATGTCCGAAAAGTCAAAGCATTTTGCTTTCAGATTACTCTTAATAAACTTCGATGGAAAGATAAATCATTATCAATCAGTATTCCATAGATTCTATCCAACTGTTCATTGATCTTACTATCCACTTGTCCAGATTTTGAGGATAGAGAGTGAGTGGATTAGATTTATCTTCCAACTTAGTTTCACCTAACTCTGAAATGGGTTTTTACATGAACATCTTTGAAGGGATACAATCGGTTTTTATTTCAGCAATACATTAGAAGAAGGTAACTCTGAGTAAATTTCTGCTTCGATTGGCTGGGAGCAGTTATTGAAGTGATGTGATTGGTATACTTGCAGCTGTTACGAGTTCCCATTACTCGGTAAACGGAACTAAGATCAGTGACTCAGCAACATGATAGGTTACTCCAGTTCGATCGTCCAAGGCCCCACTAACTAGAGGAAGAAGTCTTGATAAGATGTAGAGAATGTATTCAACAGTCAACCAGTATCTATGAGGTCGACAAACATTCAAACTAAGCTTATTTATACAATGGTAAAACGCCCTTGATGAGAGCCACAAAATAGCTCACTAAAATAATCCATCAATCAATGACAGTCAAGGATTTTCCGAGTGAGAAATGCAAGCTGAAGGTCAAAATGAGTGTCTTTGGCGCGAAAATATAAAATTCAAAATCTCAAAATAAAATTACAAAATTAGGACCTTTTCCAAGTGAGTTCTGGGGATCCAACGTCCCCAAAAGTAATGCATTATTAAGATCACTGCTCTCGTCATTTATGATGAAAGTATCGTCCTTACTGTCTTTGATAAAACTTCAGTTTATACATCATTATCCTATAAGTTCTAGAGAATCCAGTATTGCAACGCTAGTTATTTTCCAAAGAAATCATAGTCAAACTTCAGTTATATGTTAAAAGCTCATTGTGGTGTAGTGGATACTACTTGCAAGGTAGCTAATAAGTAGTATGCAGTAGAGTGTCGCTCAGAAGTCACAACGGGAGAGAACAGTGTCTGATCCGAAGTTATGGTATGATAAAAGTTTGAAAGAAGACAACCATTAGTCTGTTTGTTTTGCAAATGGAAATCTAAAGACGAGAGGTACATATTTTGTTAGTAAACTGTGTCTTCTCCTAGTACTTTATTTTTTAATCAGGTTTTGACGTCTGCGTTCATTACGAAAGAAGTAGTTTCTTTAGCTAATGTTTTTGGAGGCCATCAATCTCATAAGAAGTAAGCTATTTCTGCTTGACGAAATCCTGTGAGGGAAGAAACACCATCTAACAATATCATTTTTCTTCCCCGAGACACTGACTTCGACTACTGAGTCCATAAATCCAAAGGAATCAGATGTCTTACATCCACTAAACTGGTTTTCAACTGTCTGTAGATCCATAATAATTTTGTTTAGAGATTTTTGTTTTTCATTTCAACACTACAGTAATCACATCTCGTACAATGGCTCAAAGTGTGATTGAGTTCTAATATGGCAAACGTTCAACTATGAACCACTCGGAAATGTACTGATTTTAAAAATGTTCAATCTTTTATTGTAAACCATAGTCTAAATATTATTCATTATTCAATGTAAGTTTATCCAATAGCTAAGAAATTAAAATGAGACATAAACTATTTACATTCAATGAGGCACGTGATTTTTTTATTAATGATTGGCATTAAAAACGTAAAAATATAAAATATTTTCGAATCATTTCCGTGCCAGTTTCATAGACTTGCGGTTATCTGAGCTCAATTGTTCAGTGAGGAACAACACGTCAACATTTTAAGCGAAAAATGTTAGATTTGAATTTCAGCGTGAGCATTGAAACTGGAATTGAGATACGCCCGGCAGACATTATCTAAGCAAGACGACATCTGCTTCCTGGATTCGGGTGTTGGTCACAGTTCATCTTCAATAAATCTTATGGTTAAATGTCACTATTTTAGTAGAGACTGGTTATTAACAATAGCGAACCATTAAACCATTTGAAAAACTTAGCATAATGAGCACGCAGGCACGCTGCTACGTATGCTGGAAACTGATAAATCGAGACGTTAAGTATATGGTTATGTGTTATCTACAATTACCACGGAAGGTGCAGGAATCCCTTTGTCCAAGATTAGTATGTCCATGGTCTCTAGTTTTTCCGGATTCCGCCGGGTTAATGAATTGCCGACTCTTCCTCTTCAACACTGACTTATTTACAAAATGGTTGGAAATTTTTTGAATACATCAAACCTCACTGACATCATCAATTACACTGTTGAATAGAAACTTTAAACAATGTGGTTTTCTGGAGACAATGGGCCTAAGCTCACATCAGAAAACCAAGAATTGATGTAAAGAATGAGGTTATACACATTCGATCGCCACCCTACCGCCCTCAGTCGAATGACCAGGGTGAGTGTCTTGCTGTTTCATTCTGGTGAGCTCTAATCCAATCACAAAGAAAAGTCAAGACGGAAGAAACTTTTCGGAATTGCTCGAAAACCTGTTGGACGGCCCCGAACCCAGCCTCTTCAAAAAGTAACTGCCCTGATAAAACAGTAATCACACTTCATTTGATGTCATTAATTAAGAGAAAATGAAGAGGGACATGAAACCAAGAGTTACAAGTACTGGACACAGAAGTTCGGCCCACTTATCGATTCATTCAAGAAGCTTTCCATAGTGTAACCCCGCCTGGGTAGCTAATGTTATCATAAGAAGGGTTAACAAATTGATTTAAGTTAATGTTCAAGGAAAATGTTTGACCGAACGCATGAACCACATATTATCTAAAGAGATTGAATTGGATTAATTGCCCCATATGTCCGATCTGCCATTGGACTGTCTTGTAAACACAATCAATCAAGAAAAACAAACCAGAACCTTCAAAGCAATAACTAGACCGTAAAAAGATTATCAAGGAAACATCACATTCCTTATCACCTCCAATTGGACCCGGAAGCCAAAAAGTCTCATTCACCAGTATTCGGTTTTACACATGTCTTGTCAGAGGTGGGGTTTCAGTATTCAGAACAAGCGAGTTAATCATTTCAGTCATAACAATTATAGAAAATTTAGTTGATCTTCGGGTTTGAAATTCTAAAATAGTAAATAAAAATCAAATAGACGATTTTTACTTTGACTTGAATACTTACTAGGGATTCAGTGCAAGTGTAGACAATTCAAAAGTAAGCATTTTCGGCTCAAATCATTTGCTGATAGATCAACCATAACTTACATGACTACTTATAATAAATTGAGTAATATAAGTAAGCTGACACAAATCTTGTTTGTCATGTAGCACATATATTTTGTTCGTGAAGTTCATTCTTTTAAGTATTTAACTATTCATCCAAAACATAATAAGAAATCGAAACCCACCTGATTAAGGATCATTAGGATAATTATAATCTATGACTAAAAGTTAAGAATACTTACGAACAGTACAAACTCTTTCGATTAATTCTTCGAGAAATCATTTTAATTGTAAGGCTTTTAACTTTAAGTTTATAAGATTATTCACTTTTAGAGAATACGTAAAGTCACATTATGGTAATTTTGAATCTCATGCATATATATATATATATATATGCATCTTCTCAAGTGACTTTGAGCATTATCTAACGTGATCGATCACATGTGAATGTACTTTATCTAACCGGTGAGCACTAACTAGTCTTGCTTTAAAAAAGTTAAGGATGCTTTAACTGTAAACCTAAAGAAAAGTAGCTAGCTAGTTAACTTTAAAAATTTTTCCAAAAGAAAATTAAACCAAAAATTGATTTTGAATTGAGTGAACCAACAATA